TCTCTCAGACATTTCTGTACCTCCACGGTTATGTCATCAGCTCCATATTCTTTCTTCCTCCACTTCAAAGCTTTACGATTTTCATACCCTCTAATCTTTCTCATCCCCTGGTCCAAAGTTTCACTGGTCCTCAGATAATAAATGTTGCAGTTGACCGTTAACCGTTAACTTAAAAAGCATAAAAAAATCTAATTACTAATAACCCGTGTATAATACTAACCCCTACTTTACTGATTATTTTTAGATACATTTCTAGTATTATACATGAATAAATACAGTATTATATGTTAATAAATACAGTATTATATATGAATAAATACAGTATGTACTATCAGTATAATTTCTCACTTGTTTCCTTTCCTTGTATTATTTCTTTTCAGCTTTCAGTCTTATTTTATCATGATACAATTGTGTAGTTATTACACACTGAATTATCACACATGGTTAGGGCTAACTTTAGTCTTACACTGGTACATGAACTTAAATCAGATTTGATGAGCAAGCCATATACTTTCCAAATTTGCCTGACTTGTTTTCTTTCTGTTGTTAAAATATGATCACTCTGAAAGTGTTCATTTAACTTTCAAAGGGGGGAAAACATGAGATGCTAGTGAGACCTCACTATAAATCTAAGAGGCAGTGACTGTTGGTGTATTTATTGCGGTGTTGYAGCAAATATCCATTAAAATAAATGCTTGCCGAGTTCATACAAAAATATATAGGCGCATCTATTTTGGTTCATTTAATAGACTATGATCTATCGTTTTACTGATTTGGAACGTGTGCTTTTTAAAGGAGACATATCATGCAAAAATCCTATTTTTATCCATTAAATGCATTTAGTTGTGTACTTGAAGTTTCTTGGAGTGCAGAAATGTTGAATTTGGTCTCTCCTGGTGCTGCAAAGATAGCTTTATATACTTTTTTAGGTGAGCTGCTTTGAGACAAACCTCAGAAATGGGCTGAAAGAGGGGCTGGTAAAGTTAAAATGGGGAGGAATTCAGACCAAAGCATTGCAGTTCCACTTTAGACCCCAACTGAACGATTAAAATGTAAAAAAATAAGGATTTAAAAGCAGGTAGTAAGAAGAATTGTTAACAAATATACATGGGAAGAATTTTGATGTGATTTTAAATGACTGGTTCAAACTAAGAACAGCATAAAAAACAAGTAAAATGTTAAAACAATGCCACAAACGCTTGGTTTGAAGTTTTACTGGCCAAAGGTAAATTTAGAAATCTCGGAACCGGCTTAGAATTTTTTTAAATACAATAAACTGATTTCTCCAAAACAGTCAATACAAAGAAAGCCCCACCACATCTAAAAACCAGTAATTAAACTAGACATTTAACACATAAACATTACCGATATGGACAAGAATAAAACAAGATCACATTGAAAATGTGGATGAAGGATTAAAATAATAACAAAGAATGCTAAGTCACAGGAAATTCTTGTCAGCTGTCATACAGATCAGCGTGTTAGTCAATCATGTTAAATGTGATGTGGCTGTGCACCATGAGTGTGCAAAAGAACATGAACAAAGTGCAGCAACCACAGCAGGCAGGCCTTTTTGGGCAGAACAGTGGTGTATGACCTCAGACTGAAACTATTCTGGTAATGTTGATTGTGGGAAAGGAACAGGAGACAAAGAGCCAACACACACACACACACACACACACACACACACACACACACACACACACACACACACAGAATGATAGAGACCTACATGGTTCTAGTGAT